CTACAAGGGAAATGTAGACATGTTATAAACACTTCATACAATGTGTTTCGGCATAGTATAGTGGGGTGCATAGTAGAATAAGCAATTCTTGTCCAAATGTCACTTTACATGTTGGCATTAAATATAAAACGTCAACGCCAGAGAATAACCAGTCTTGATTATCCGACGACACATATTCCATTGGGCGTAAAAGGTAAAATAGCAGTGAAAATTATTTAAATGGATCACTGAAAATCAGTGATGAGCCCAGCTGTTCGGGAAAGGGATAAGCATGTACTGCCATACTCGCCACTCGCACAACATGCATGTTAATAGGAAAATATGAATTTATAATCATATATTTATATATGAAACTAATTTAATATCGTTTCACACATGACATAACTACTACTGAGATATATTGTTATGTATTGGATACACAAGATTGGGGGAGGAGCATAAGCGGTCCCATATTCAAAGGAGGTAATAAGGATGAACCAGATGATTGATCTCTCATTGATACTGTATGTGAGGTATTGATTTCGATTCTAGACAGACGCCTCCAGTCCTGGTATGACAATAACAGTATCTTATGTTAAACACAAGCAGGTTTTAGACCCGGATGTTCCAACACAGACCAAATATTTATTCTTCAAGTAACTGTACAGAAATACATCCCAAAGACCAAGGGTAGATTTTACGGCATCTTTATTGACTTTTCGTAGGCTTTCGACAGAGTAAACCACACCATTCTTTTAAAAAGCTTAAATTGAGTGGGAATAATTTGGAACTTTCTATGATTACTAGCATCGATGTACTCTAACTTATCATAATGTGTTCGACTGAAGCACGGTCTTTATGACTATTTCACCTGTAAAGTCGGCACAACTCAGGAATGTGTTTTGAACCCCAAACATTTTATTATCTTTTTAAAAGAACTCGCAGTGATGTTGAAAAAAATAGTGGTCAAGGCATATTTATCAGTAGTGAGATACCACATCTGTTTGAATGATTATACGCGGACGACACTGCGGACAGTGCTTTACAGATACCAAAGAAAATAAATGTTCTTGAAAGTTTCTGTATATCGACTCTAATGGAAGTAAATCTAAACAAAACTGACGCTATTGTGTTTCTACGAGGTGGACTATTGAAAAGCTACGAAAAATGGTATTCCAAAGGAGAAAACATTGAAGTTGTGAATTTATATAATTATTTAGGAACAGTTTTCACTCCCATCTTGTCGTGGAGCAAGACGTTCAGCTGATGCAAACAACTCAATCAGATTCATCAAGAAAATTGCTACCTATCACTGATAGTCTTTGATAGGCATTTAGAAGTTGTGAGGACATGAATACATTACACGTTTTTATGGATAGCAACTTTTTTTATTCTTTACTTCTTGCTCCTTCAGGGGCGGTCGGGTAGCCGAGTGGTTAAAGCGTTCGCTCGTCACGCCGAAGACCCAGGTTCGATTCCCGACATGGGTACAATGTGTAAAGCCCATTCCTGGTGTCCCCCGTCGTGATATTGCTGGAATATTGCTAAAAGCGGCGTAAAACCATACTCACTCACTCACTCACTCTCGCTCCTTCATCAGGTGAAAGCCTAGTAAGACATAGAGTACTATAACAATTTCAGGATGCCTTTAAAATATTTGACAGTGTTGTCGTTCCGATCTTATGTAACGGAGCTGAAGTTTGGGGAACATCGTACAACAAATTAATTGAAAATATCCAAATATCCTTCTGTAAACGGCGTCTTCGTCTCTCTATTAATACACCTAATAATATGGTACATGGGGCGCGTGACAGACTCCGTCTGCAATCTATCTATGTGACAAAAGCAGTAAAATATTGGTGCAGACTTCTTCATTTTGAAACTCACAGATTACTTCGTCAATCCTTCTAAATGCCAAAATCACTTGATGAGATGTGAAAGGGGGCATGTGCTACATCAATAAAAAAACAATTTGTTCAGCTTAGGTTTGGGGCTTACAACAAGAAATCGGCGATATAACATTATTCCTAAAATGAATTTCAGCAAATACTATCAGATAATCTGTGTCAAAACTGGTTATCTTCAATGGAATTATCTTCGAAAATATGCTCAATACAAATGTATGTGGAACACAGAACGTTATCTTACAAATGACATTCCACATTGCATTGAGATATATATTTCAAAGTTTAGATGTAATAATTTCCTTTTACATATGGAACTTGGAAGACACAGTTTCACTCCCCATAATGAACGATTTTGCGATTTCTGTTTGTCCAAAAACTTTAAATATATTGAAGATGAATACCATGTGACGTTTATACGTGAAGAATATGCCACTATAGGAAGAAAGTATCTCGCGCCATATCACACTGAATATCCATCTCTAATACAATTCACACACCTGATGCTAACAGGTGATAATCTTGTCCTTCTTAATATGGGTTTTTACTAAGCAAAAAGCTACAAATTAAGAAATATCTAATACATTTTTGTCATTGATGACATGTATGTAAGTATGTATTTTACTCTAGCATGTTGTCGACAACTCAAGTACACGTGTACCAAGCAGATGGTGTGACCTCAAGTTAGTGGCTGAGACAACAGCTATGTCAACTATCGTGTGTCTGTCACCTTACTGATGCCGAGAGAAAGAGTGAGTGAGTGAGTGAGTATGGTCTTCAGCCGCTTTTAGCAATATTCCAGCAATAACACGTCGGGGAAACCAAAAATGTAGTATGTGTATTAACAGAGTGAATCATGAAGCACAGACCCTGAATATTGGATGATTATAAATATTCCCCGGTTATACCTATTACCTTAACATATAACTGTACAAAGAGCGTCATTACTTCGTTGTCATGAGGGGGCACGGGTGGCCCAGTCGTCTAAGGCGCGGCGATTCGGTGTGCAGAGTTGCGTCCCATGGGCACGCCAGAAACCTATGATTGTGGGTTCGAATCCCGGTTCGCCTCGATTATGTTTCTAGGTTTGTCAGCACCATACCCGTGCTTGGGTTTCACCAAAGTGGTAAACAGCTGAGACCTGCACACTTGGGGCTTTCCTCCCACATTAAGCTGACACGCCGCGATATAACTGGAATACTGTTAAAAGCGGCGTTAAACCCAACTCACTCACTCACCCGTAGTCATAATGCGTTAATCTGGACGGCACTCGCGGGAATGGTGCGGTTTGACGGGGTTCCGCAGTTTACAATGCCACATTCTATACAATACATAACCCTGACTAACATGTTGTTTGTTTGTGTTGCGGAATTATGAAACCGTTTGGTCGTGAGAAACACGTACAACGCAGTTGCCACCAACCCACATCTCTGCTTAATGGTGCTAATTACACTGTCAGTTGCTCCATTATGAAGTATGAAATATGACAAATTACGAAATTAACGTGATGAATGCGATATTCCGCGCCATCATTCACATGACGGTATTTACATAACTCGTGGTAAAATATGATCATTAATCTCGTGACAGATGATGCAGATGTGTCGCCGACACAACACGCCCCCGACCCAACAACAACACAACTGCACATCCTCTGCACGTCCAAACTGGGTTCAAACGTCATTTCCGACCATAATGCATTAGGGGCCGCACGTGACGACTTTTGGAAACCATACCATGTGTTATAGATATATGGAAAGCTATTGGAAATGTGCATTCGACAGCATCATTAAAATACCCCAAAACTACCTAAATAGTGCATTTATAGCCAGTTAAAGTTATGAAGAAATACAAACATTCGGTGATTTTTAATTGTCTATCGGTAACCTTATACTTCAAGACCAATGTCGAAAACCCGTAACAGTACGGTATCTACAGAAAGAACAGATCCTGGACAGTAATCTCAATAAAGACAGAGAAATGCAAGGGGGGGAGGGGGGGGAATGGTACAAAGAGTAGTGCCGTTGTGACTGCACACTAGAAACTAGCAATTTCACCTATTTCAAGGGATTCATCCGGGTTCTTCCGATACGACCCTTATTCCATACATATTTGTACCCCCGCCGTCCAAAGGCTATACACCCTGGTAGCGCCTCACTATACCCCGCCTCGATGTCTGTGCATGCTGCAAGAGATGAGGAGAAGGATGCTAGGATGCCGTGTACTGTATGACATGTGACAATGAAACAAAGTATTCGCTTTGTTAAACCTGAGTACTTCGAGTGCTCACTTGCCAAACAATGCCAAAGGACACGATAAAGACATTTCTTTAACAAAGTAGACACAATTTATGGATAACAGCTTCTTTAATATTGTAAAAAGCGACGCTTCGGTATAGATCTTTATACCATGGCAAGTTGTTTGACAACGGTATAAGGATCTATACCGAAACGTCTTGTTTAAAAACGGTATAAGGATCTATACCGAAACGTCTTGCTTAAAAACGGTATAAGGATCTATACCGAAACGTCTTGCTTGACAACGGTATAAGGATATATACCGAAACGTCTTGCTTGACAACGGTATAAGGATCTATAACGAAACGTCTTGCTTGACAACGGTATAAGGATCTATACCGAAACGTCTCACTTGACAACGATATAAGGATATATACCGAAACGTCTTGCTTGACAACGGTATAAGGATCCATACCGAAACGTCACTTTTTACAGTATTAAAGAAGTCTACTTTGTCATCCGTCATCTTCTAATTAATGCCTATCAAACAAGAAATTTTATTACATTTTCCTTATTTCTTTGCATTAGCTATATATAGCCGCATCCATTCATACACGCAAGGGGGCGGTCGGGTAGCCTAGTGGTTAAAGCGTTCGCTCGTCAAGCCGAAGACCCGGGTTCGATTCCCGACATGGGTACAATGTGTGAAGCCAATTTCTGGTGTCCACGGCGTGATATTGCTGGAATACTGCTAAAAGCGGCGTAAAACCATACTCACTCACTCACTCATACACGCAAGTCTCATAGATAATAGGAATACATAATAATACATGTATGTATATAGTGCAACAATTCATAACATCAACAGGCTCTCTGTGTG